TGTGGGGGGGGGGGAGCACCAGCTGCGCCCCCCCCCAGCAGCCCAGGGAGACGCTGAGCAAAGCGGCGGAGGACCCGGGGCCGGACCCGCAGCGCTTCAGATCAGCGCCAGGGGTCCGGCCTAGGTCCTCCACTGCTTTGCTCCCCGTCTCCCTGGTCTGCTGGCTCCCCCAGCAGACCAGGGTGACCGGGAGCAGCTTTTCTCGCCCCGGAGGAGGCGGGCGGTGGGACCAGGCGTCCCGCCACTCCAGTCCTCCAGGGCGAGAAAATCCCCGTTCGTATCTGCGGATCCGACATAAGTCGGATCCGCGTAACTCGGGGACTGCCTGTATACATATTTAAACAGTATGGCAGGGGAAATATATTTGTACATATGTTAGTCTCACAGCAAAATGACCAAGCAATATTTTATCAACTACAGTTGGTTAACAATGTAGTAAAAGTGTCTTGATTGGTTAATAATTAAATCACACTGTGTTTTAATATCAGGTTCACGAGCCACAAGTGGCAGCACTTAAGTCTGAGTATCACTGGTTTAGATGTTATCCCTCAGTGCCGATGCAAGTTAAGTACAGCAATGCCCAGATCCCCATTTATCTTTATACAGCATGAACCTGTAAGCTCAGCTAGGATCTCTCGGATGGGAGTTCCACGTGTGTAGGCATAGCCATGAGCCCGATATGCTGTTATCAAGTGATCTGTTGGTTTTATGGCAGCTTCGAGTCCAACACAGCACGCTTCCTGTTGTAGAGGAAAAATAAGACTGACAATGGGACAAAACATCAGATTCCTCTACTCAGCTCTTGAGGCTGGGAGCCAACGTCCCTATTCCATAGTTAGAAGACCTGTAGCAATGGAGGGCATCACATACACTCAACTACCCTGCATCCCAAAGAAACATACCCCTGACAAATGAGACTGGCGCTAGGTCCTTTGAGTGTCCACAGACTACAACAGTTTGCAGCTCCAAAATAATCAAAACCAGAACAGGACGAAACTGATGATTAGGTCAAGGAAGGTGAGAGACTGGGAATGCTTGTGGACCATTGGCACTGCCTGTGTAATCAACCACTTAAGCACTGCTCTTCCCATGCTCCCTAAGACTGACCTTTTCCCTTGCCCATAATTAAGGCAAAGATTTTGTCTCACGTATTTTTAGTAAAAGTCAGGGACAGGTCACAGACAATAATGAAAAATTCACAGAAGTCCATGACCTATCTATGACTTTTACTAAAAATATGCAAAACAAAATGAGGAGTGAAAGGTTCCCCAAATCACCCAAAGGGACCCTGCAGGGTCACCCCACCCATTCAGATTACCCCCACTGCCTGTGGCAGCTGAGAGTTCAGGGTCTACTCACTGCTTGGGAGCTCTGGGACACCTCTGCCCTCCACCCTGACTGGAAGCTGTTGGGTGCCCTTTGTGGCTGAGAGCTTAGGCCCCTGCAGCTCCCAGCCCCCAAGAGTAGCAGGGATACTATGACCCCCAGGCTCAAGTCACAGAGGTCTCTGGAAGTCAGATTCCACGACCTCCATAACAAAGTCATAGCTCTATCCACAACTGACAAGTGGAGACAAGTATCAACCAACTCCCAGAAGATGGGATTTATCATTTACCTGACCATCATACAAGTGGCAGAAGCCACGAATAATCTTCTGTTTATATAGCTGATCTGCCTTCAGTTCCATGCGCCGAATGGTCTGCATAGTCCTGTAATAACGGAGTCCCTCTTCCCGAGTAAGTACTGTTGTGACAGGAGGACCCTCTTCCAGGCGATGGAGATCGCATTTCTACAGAAACAGTCATGGAGTTACTTCAGTAACGTATGTTCTTGTTTGTCATCTCAGCACTAAAAATCTAATGTATTAATAATGTTCACGTTCCACTTGGTTTTTTGAACAGGAAAACCTGAATATATAGGTCTAAACCAGTGGGTCTCAACCTTTCCAGATTAGCGTGCTTGTTTCAGGAGTCTGTTTTGTCTTGCATAATGCCAAGTTTCTTACAAGCTACTTAAAAAACAAATTCACTAAAGTACAGGTTGGACCTCCCTGGTCCGGCACCTTCGGGACCTGAGCTGTCCCAAACCAGGGAGTTTACTGGACCTGGGAAGGTCAGTGCTCCCCTGCTGACTGCCCCGCTCCCGGGCCCCTCTTCCTGGGGCTCCCTGCACTACTGCTGGCCCCCAGGTTCCCCACATTGCTGGATCTCCCCATGTTGCTGTCTGCACACTGCCCCAGTGTCCCCCAGGATTCCTAGCTGGGACCACCTGGACGGTGAGACCCTGCTACCGCATGGTGTTCCTCAGGGTTCCGTGGCAGGAACCGACTAGCAACCTTGCACCTTTGCTAGGGCTGGCCCCAGCCCCTGGGGTTCCCCCGGCAGGGCTGCCCGCCTTCACCACCCCTGCTTCAGCTGGGGAGTTCCTCGGCCCGTGCTGCCCAGTCACCCCCCACCTCACTGCCACCTGGAGTTTCCCAGCCAGCGCTCCCACCACCAGCAGCCCCACTGCAGCAGGGTATATTCCCTGACTGGAGCTGGGATTCCCTGCTGGGGGGTTTCCCCTGAGAGGGCAGAGGCTCCCAAGCCATATCTAGCCCCATTGACATTGGGGGTTCCCCAGCCAGGTTGTGGGCTTTGCAGCTGCTGCTGGCCCAGCCTGGGCACCCCAGCCCTCGCATTCTCTCAGCTGGCTCCCACTCCTGCCTCTGTTGTACTCTGATCAAGCAACATCTGTGGCCCTGCCAAACCATGGATGATGCTGTATCAGAAAGTCCTGAATCTGGAAGGTTCAACCTGTACCACAGCACACTATCAATGAAAAATTGTTTACTGTCTCATTTTTACCATATAATTATAAATCAATTGGAATATAGTGTACCTGCATTTCAGTGTATGCTATGTAGAGCAGTATAAGCAAGTCACAGTCTGCATGAAATTTTAATTTATATCAACTTCACTAATGCTTTTAATGTAGCCTGTTGTAAAATTAGACACATATCTATAGGAGCTGATGTACTTCCTTGAAGATCCTGGTGTACTCTTATTTGAAAACCACTAAAGTAAACAAATAAAACTGAAGTTTTCATATTGCTTCAAATCTCATGGCATATCTACACAGCAGGGCTAAAGCCGAAATAAACTACGCAACTTGAGCTACGTCAACCGCTTATTTCAGCTTTTGGCACTTTTTATGCAGCAGAAAGTCAGAATTAGAGCATTCTTTCTCTGACTTCCTCTACTCCATGTAAAATGAGGGTTATAGAAGCTGGAGAAAGAAGTCCACCAGCTCAACATTATGTCAAAATAACTTCTGTGTAGACACAGACTGTTATTTTGGAATAACATCAGTTTCAGAATCCACCCAGATCAGGCTACTGCCTGCCCCTTGGATGCATTGGTGTTACGCAACTATGGTTCAGATCTCTGACACCAAGAGCCAGCCCATAAGAATAAGGTTTCATCCTGGCTCTTACCAGTCCAATTACTCTTTGCACAGTAATACCAGCCTTTCCAGTCCCATGTCTTCTTAACTATGTCTGGTCCCAAGTTCTTAACAACCACCTACATTTTTCATATCTGCTCAGTCATCCCTGAAGACTGTCCCCCAGATACCAGCTTATTTTGGCGCACACTCCACACAATTTTCACAACAGAAACCTGATTGGTATGAAAATAGACAGCCAGAGGCTTTGCACTTTCTTATTAAGGCCCCTTTTCTAATAAGGGTTGGTAATCTATTGATTTAAAAGGTTCTCAGCTTACCCCTTAGCTATAAGGGGGATCCAGTATTAACAGGCACCAGTTTCTTCCTTGTCACCTCTACCCTTTTTCCCAATACCCCAGCCTACCATGCCTCTTCCCACCCTCGCTACATAAGAAAAGCTGATTGAAGCAGGCAGGAGATGCTTGGAGGGAGAAGAGTGTGCTGACTGAAGGTGGGTGCTAATCACCCACTAATTTATTTCATGTTGGAAAACTTTCAGAGAGATGGCACCTATGTCAGTATTTATTCACAGTCCCCTGCCTTCACATTGTCCCCCAAGGTTCTGGATGCACTTCCATTTTAAAATGGTTTGCCCCTCTTTCTTCCTTCTTAGTCACTATTCACAACAGTTATTTCAAACACTGGTTTTTCAGTTTCAAAACATCCCTATTTGCTTTGATGGCTCCTCATTGTTTTTTCCTGGGCTAGCCAATGGCTACATCTTTGAGGCTAGTCTCCGCTGGCTGGGGATATAGTTCATCTCTGCTTCATTGCTTCACCACCCTGTTGTGAGGTGATGCTACAATTTTCTATACATACCCCCATACATAGATTCACAGCCATAAACTGTATACGTCTCATAATGGCTATTAAGGTCTGTGTACGACAAGCATTCATAGAAAATTTTACTCAGGATAATTTTACAATACAAAAACATAACATATAATCAATGGAGGTGCTTATTTTGGGGGGTTATGCTTTCCGATCTCTCTTTGGGATATCTGGACCCTGATTGCCACACGTGGGGAGCAGCAAATGCCACCCCTCCGACAGAAGACTGTCAGGAAAAACCAAATAGGAGAGAATGATTGAGCTCGTTAAAATAACCTACTGACTTCAAACTTTAGATTCTGCAGAAACTAAAATAGGGCCAAAAGATGAACAATGTATTTCTACTAAAAGCCAGGTCTCTCTGGTGCCTACAAGCAAGGTGGGTATGAAGACAGACTTTCATCCTCATGAGTCCATGCAGATGATTAGCTTAACTAGCTCTCAAGACATGTACTAAAGGACAAAACTAGCACAACAAATGGGTATAAACTAGTCATGAATAAATGTAGATGGGAAATTACAAGGCTTCTAGCCCTCAGAGGAGTGAGGTTCTGGAGCTGCATTCCAACAGGATTAGTGGGGGTAAATAACCTACCTAATTTTAAGATAGCTCTTGAAGTGCTTATATTATATATGGTAGTTGCCTCAACAGCAAGATACTAGGCTTCATGACTCAGGAAGTTTCTGCCAGTCCTGAGTTCAGGATATTTCAGTTTTTCACCTCAATAATTTATGCTATTTCCTGAGCTTTTTGGTTATTTCAGAATCTTACTTTAGCATTTTAAATATTACCAATGGCAATAATTTTTATTCTTGTCATGCAACTTGACTTTTTTTCATGCACTGAAGAAATATCAGTTGTGAACTCCTGCCAGCTGCAGATAGATAAGGAAATGTTTGGTTCTGAACATTCAAAATGATGGTGTGTTTTTTTTTTTTTTTTTAACAGAAAATCAATACATGAAATCCACAGTGGCAATAGCTACAATACTTCTATTAAATGCTAATTCTCAAAAATGAACTATTCCACTTCCTTACCTTAACATCAAATGTAGCCTCACTTGCAAAGTCTGCATAGTTACGAGATGCCACCACCACACGGGAAACCTAAAAAAAGGAATATGTATTATGTAACTTTAGAAGTCAACAACTATCCCAAGGAAAAAGAACATTTCCCCAGTCACTTAAACAATCAGTCACCATTATACTTAGTGATAGAAATGTAGCCGTGTTAGTCTGGGGTAGTTGAAGCAAAATGCAGGACAATGTAGCACTTTAAAGACTAGCTCTTTTCCGGCTTTTTTAAAAGCCGGAAAAAAGCGGCGGCCATTTTTATTTAAATGCCGCGGGGGATATTTAAATCCCCCGCGGATTTCCCTACGACGACTCTTGAAATTTACATGCCCCTTACGGAAGAGAGGCTACGTCTACACTGGCCCATGTGGCCACCCAAGTGCTCAGCTTACAGGGAACACTGGTAGTGACACACAATTCAGTAACCCAGCTTTCTCATGCAATCTAGTTACAGGTATGAAAACAAACTTTGAATACATCATACAAGCTTTCTCGCAGCTAATACAATATGGATGCTATTTGGATTTGATTTCACCTGTTGCTAGTAATGGTGCCCAGCTGCATTTTGAGACTTAAGACGATAGACGTCAGTTGGCGTTACCTTGAATTCTTGTCCTTAACACTTCACAATTCAAAACCATCTGCCTTTTTGATGTGAAAATAAGCCAAAGGGTGACTTTGCAGTGTGCTCTGTGTGTGCCCAAACTCTACTTTCAGCCTGAAATAGAAAGAAATAAAGGGGCTTCAGAGTCCTGTGCCATGCAACCTACAGTCTGCCAACACTCAGCAAGAGTGCTCCAGGTGATTGGAACTCTGTGCGTGGATTACAAAGACAAAATGATACACCGGCACTGCAGAGCAAAACAAACCTTTGCCTCCGCCCCACTCAGATGTCACCATAACATTAGCCACTGACGTTGCATTAAACAGCGTGAACTGTTTAGCAGGATCCCTGTCAACCAGTGCCCTGTGCTCCTAGAGATGAGGTCTGATAGAAACACACTATTTCATAAAACATGTTGCCAGGAGATTGTGTGGGCTGTAGACCCCAACTGCAGAATAGCAGGGGCAGACTATTTTGTTGTTGCAGCTCTTGGCAGAAAATCGTGCTATGGTACAAATCTCCAACGCCTTCAGCCTGGTGCGAAGCCTTGCGGACTGACTGTGGTGGAGACTCCGTGCACTTACCTTCTGCAGTCTATAAAAGCTGTTTCTATAGCATTCCTCTCCAGGATTCCTGGCTTGTCAGTTGCTCCGCTTGCTAGAAAAACATCAGCTCTTGCTGTAGGTCAGGCTTGTTTTGATTGTTCCGAATGAGTGTAAACACTTGGCTGTCTCCCCAAGAGCAACCTAACCAATCCTGTAGAGTTCTATCCTGGTATGCTAGATGACTGTTTAGGTGTTGATGGAAGAGTGACATTCTGGCATGCTAAGAATAATGGCTTGTGTATGTTTCATGAGTAAGACATTTAAGGGGATTTTTGGAGTCTTCATACTGGGGAGCTTCACCCTGAGGCAATATGGCCTGCATCTTCCTCTGCAGCAATGACTTAATGAAACGGGAACCTTTTTAAGGGTGTACTACCAAAAAAGCGATCTGCCTAATTAATCATTGCAAGATGTGCAAAGTCACATCGCTCATGCATATACTTTGAAGGGAGGTTTGTGCTGTGGATATTCACCAAGCTTCCCCAATTATCACCTCTAATTAACCTCTATTAACTCACAGACATGCATTCTGAAAGGGACAAAGCAGCCAGTCCCACGGGTCTCCACATAAGCTCCACTCCATCTCCAGGCTGCCACTCTGCATTATTAGGGATAGGGGAGCCGGCAGCAAGAGCACGCTGGCTCAGTGTGTTGGACCCATACATTGCAAATGCTGCAGACCAGAGACCTGCGGAAAAGGGCCAACCTTTCTTGGTTTCACTGTATTTCACTAAGAGGGTAGGCTTACCAGGTAACCTTTCCCTCCCCCCAAAGGAAACAGAGCACTTTAACACATTGCTGGGAAGACTGCTTCCAGGCTTGAAAGACCTTGTAATGTAAATAAGGTCTTCATCCTGCAAATGCTAATCCCTGTTGCACTTGTGAGGCACTCTGAAGAATCAAGAAGCTACATTGTCCTGCATTTTGCTTGAGTAGTTGAGTAACCTCATAAATTCTTTTTGGTTAGTTGACTATTCTATAGTCCCTGGAGGTCAGGGCCTGCAACCAGTGGAGAAGCCCCCTGCTACCGTGCGCTGCTGCTTCTGTATCAGAGGCAGCACAGTGGGTGCTGGGGGGAGCTGGTCTGTGAGGGGAGCCAGCTTAAAAAACAGCTCCCCTTGCAGACGGGTTGCTTGTTGCACTGTGCTGCTGCCTCTGATACAAAAGCAGAAGTATGGGGTGGCAGCAGTCCCTGTCCAGGAGGGGTCTGAGCTACTGGGCCTGGCACAATAAATCTGTTAGTCTATAAGATGCCACAGGACTCATCGCTTTTGCAGATTCAGACTAACATGGCTACCCCTGAAACAAAAATACCAGACTAACATGGCTACCCCTCTGATTCTAGTCTCAGTGTCACTGAATCCCCTGAGCTAGGGCTCAGAGTCAGGCATGACAGGTTACAAATAGATTCCTTTTAAAAATAAAAAAGGAACTCTGGTTTCTGGAGTTCTTGTCCAGCCAGATCTTGCTTCTCTACTTCCAGTCCCCTCCCCAGCAGCCCTCTGAGGCTCAAAGGGAATCCCATTCTCTTCTCATGCTGGCCAGTGCAGCTGGAGATCAGACTTTCTGTCTTTCCCAGCTCCTTTCCCCACCACTCATGGGCTGGCACTGAGGTGGACTGTCCTCTACCTGACTACTCCTTCACATCCTTAGTGAAAACACAAGAGCAAGGGGCCTAAGACACATAAAGCTTCAAAAAGGATATGTAACAGAACAAGCAGTACATTTTAAAACAAAGTGTGCATGAATTAGGGGGACTATTCTACACTCAACATTACCTTGTAACTCTCAAATGATTGTTATGCTGCAAAATAATGTAGCGGATTCTCCCCCCGCCCCCATACACAAGACATGGACATCAGGATTATCCATCCATTCAGTGTCTATTCAGCAGAGTGAATACAACATTTAACTCTGTTTCCAAAAGCTCAAGCTGCTATCTAGCACTACAAAAGAGCAATTCCAGTAACTCATTCAGCCAAGCAGCTGACATACATGGTCTCCAAAAAGAAGATCATGAAGTTCCCTTCTCACCCCATATATATTTTTTAAAAGTAAGTCCTTACAGATGGATATGTAAAATCCTGTTTAATTGGTTAACTGATTAAACATGTTTAATCCATTAATTGATTAAAGGGGGCACAGGCGAGGGCAGATAAGGAAAAATCTAAGATTGAAGATGTTCAAGAAAAATTCTGAAAATTATATTAAATTATTAAAATGCAGCAATACTACTAGTGCTCTCTAGCCATTTTATGTGTGAAGTTAAAATGAGCAAGTATAGGTACATATAAAAAGCTAGAAAGTTCATAAAGCAGATTATGTATGTATACAATTTTAACCGGTCAAAACCAAATTTTTACAGAAGTGATGAGGACCTTACCTCACTAACAGCACCCTAAAATAGCAGCAATTGGAGGAAACAAAAGAGAGAAGAGTCAGCAGCTGTAATAAAGCATTTCAGGGAATAAATAATCAATAGACTAGTAGCAAAATAAAAGATAGTGCTACAATTTATTTTGCTTATGGATGAACTTTGGGGACTCATGGCTTGATTCTTCCCTGCTCTGGACTTCATACCTGTGCATATGGCATACAAACTACTGTATAAGTAAAATATTACCTTATGAAGTGTATGTAAGTGCTACTCTTGACAGACAGTATATTAACACTGACTCTGAACCAATATAAGTAACAACATCCAGGGGAAAGAATCAAACCCAAAATTTTCAAACCAGGAAGCCTAAAATTGGATTTCTAAATAGAACTAACTTGGGCACTCAAATATACAACACTAAAGAAAGCCCAGGCCATTTCTAATTGGGTGCCTCAATGCAGACTTAGGAGCTAGTTATCAGCAACTGCATTTTATATTTAAAAGATCACAGGTAGTAAAAGAGCTACATTAGAGGGGACATATCCACTGAAAGATTATCTCCTGATCTCCAGGAAGGGTACTCTGCTACTTCCTTCTGTAGGGGCTATCATTGTGAAAGTAAAGTTTAAATGCTTTAAATTAGGGGTGTAGCCTCATAATACTAAGTGTCCTAAAATGTATTTAAAATATCAGTTCTTGATGAAAATGACCTTCACAAAAGCAGTGACAACATGTATTGTCAGGAACTAAACGCAGCAGTATAAAAGGCCACTGTAAGATTTACAAGAGTTCATAATCTGAGGGGGGAAATAGTTTGTCAAGTATTTAATATTTTAACATTTCATTACTAAAACTACTTTACAGATCTCTTAAAGGCCTTTTTCCTCTTCCAGGAGGCTCTTACTAAAACTACTTTACAGATCTCTTAAAGGCCATTTTCCTCTTCCAGGAGGCCATTTCCTCCCTTCTGCAGAGTTCCTTATTTCTGCAAGGGTACATCTACACTAGGAAATTATTTCGAAATAACTAAATTCTAAATAACTCCCGAAACAGCATCCCCCCACTATGAGGGATCCTTGAAATTAATCCAAGACAGGCTCCATTATTGTGAATATGCTCCCACAACTCAGAGCCCCAGAAAGCACTGGGGAGTAATTACTTCAAATTACTCTGGGGAGTTATTTCAAAAGAGCAGCAGCGAAGCATCCACACTAATGCTATTTCGAAATAAGTGTTATTTCTGAGGAAAGCAAAAGTACAGATATTGAAATAACGCAGCCCGTTATTTCAAAATAACTTCCTAGTGTAGACTAGGGCCAAGAGAGCTTTCTGCCCTTTCTGAGGTAGTCCTCTCCGGCTGTAGTGTCTGTTTATACAGCTGTAATTTATAAAATACAATCAGGTCAAGATAATTTATTTCTGAGGAGTTTGGGGGGTTTTGAGTTATCTGCTTCACCCAAAGCTGTTCTCAAAATGAAAATGTAATAGAAATCCATTTATCACTAACTCGTTATTTCAAAATTTAATGCTTCATGGAGTTAAATTTAATACATTTTACTTCGCTGAAAGCATACTGAATATAAGTTGAGCAGCAGGCAAAAAAAATCCTAAGCATAAGAATGGGGTGGAGGGTGTACCAGAATGCATAATGAAAGGAGAATGGAAAAAAAATACATATGAATTGTGTTGCAAAAGACATCAAGTGTGTAGAAAAGGAAAGGCCACTGACAACTGAAAGAATTGTCTCTGCTTCTACTCATGCCCTCATTCCATAATCTTGGAAGTAGATGATTGGGCATTCAAATATACAACTCTAAAGAAAGCCCAGGCAATTTCTAATTGGGTACCTCAATGTAGACTTAGGAACTAGTTATCAGCACCTGAATTTTATGATTTAAAAGATCATAAAAGTAGATGTTTGGTCTATCAGCCTGGCAAGTTTAAACAAAAGACAAAAAAACCCACTCATGTGCCCAGGATGTTAAATTGCATTCAATCAGCTAATTGAGTAGTTGATGGAATTACCGTCAACTACTTGATTAGCTGATAAGAGGGGAAACTGCAGAGCTGCAATGGGGTTGGCTCCCAGCCCTGGGAGCCAACCCCACTGCAGTTCTGACATTTAAATGTAGTAAGAGCTTGGCGGAAGTTCTGACTTTTAAATGTAGTAAGAGCTTGGCAGATGCTGGGGGGAACCGGTTTCTAAGCCAACTCCCCCCACCCCGCTGCCTCTAATAAAGACAGCAGTGGGAGGAGAAGTGACTTGTTGAGTAGTGATTTGACTGCAGGATAAGCCTATGCTTATTGGGTAGTCGACTACTTGACTAGTCACTTATATCCTTAGTCCAAGCTGCCGAACAAACCTAACTCAGAAAAATCAACCTTTTTAATACAGTTCTCAAAAGTGTATTTGCTGATTTACAGAACTGTAATAAGACACTCTAGGAAGTAAAAGGACAAATGGGTGTATGTTGTAGCATAAGGAGGAGGGAATAAAATGATACACTAATCAGCTCATTTGTCTATTCGTATTCAACCCTCAAATTTGCCAATTTTCATTTACAGAAATTGTCTATTACTATTCTCCTAAAAATGCTGCCCGTTCATTCACTTTGTCTACTGGATAACTTTAGGCAAGTCCCTTCACCTCTATGTCTCAGTTTCCTTCTTTTGTGAAAGGGAGAAAACTCCTCTAAAGCAGTTTGAGATCTTAGGATAAAAAAATACTGTTTTAGAACTAGGTATTACTAACCACTTTTACTTTCTATTTTTAACCCACCAAATCCTTTGTCAAAGTAATTCCTACCCATAGCAATGCCCCCTTATGTCCTTTCTCTACACAGCAAACCTTAATCTAGTTACAAACCAGAAGTAATTCTGCTAAAGTCAGAGTTACACTAATATAAAACCAATGTAAGAAATAAAAGCTCCATTAATTTTTAGCTTCTCTTCCAAAGTCTTCTCCACATTAGCCCCATGATGCTAAAGTGAGCAATTCATCCTATTGGTCTCAGGGCTTGTCTACATTTACCATGCTGCAGCAGTACCTCTATAGCACTTAGTGAAGGTATTTCCTATACCAAGGGTTGGCAACCCCGGGCATGTGTCACAAATGGCACACAAACCAATTTTCACTTGAATGCGGGGTGGTAGCTCAGCCCCGCCCCTGCCCCCACACGCAGAGAGCTCATGCTGTGGCTCCAGCCTCACCTTCACAGAAACAGCTGTTCGGGTGGGGAGCAGGAGAGGCATGCACATGTCCCTGGGGCTTCCCCTGCCCCTGCCCCTGCCCAGCCTGGACATACAGCTCCTGGTAGCTAAGGGGTTAACCTCCCCCTCCCCATGCTACAGGCTCTGTCTGATTCCTGCTTCAGGAGGCAATGGGGATGGGCCTGCTCAGCTGGGCGGCCTGTCACATGTGGCACGCCAGAGCCCAGGGTGTGCTGCATTGCTCCCCGCAGGCTGTGTGCAGGAGCAGGATGCCCTTTCCCCAGCCCCCTGCTGTGCCAGGCTGAGCTGGAGCCAGCCTGGGCTCTGCCTGCCTCAGCCCAGGAGCCACAGCCTTCAGGCACATGGCTGGGCTCAGTAGGGAAGAGACTCTGCCCTTCCTGCCTCTCCTCATCCAAGCACTTGTGCCCTCCCGGTGAATGCGCTGGGGGCACAGGGAAGTAGGGGCAGGAAGGAAGGGTGAAAGAAGGATGGGAGGAGGCAGGAGTTGCACTGAGGGACATGGGGCATTGCAGGGTGTCAGGCTGGAGGAATCATAGGGCTGAGGCTGGAGCAGAAGGAAGATGTGAGGGAAGATACAATTTTACTTTGCAGAAGCTGCACTCTCCTTTACTCCCCACTTCTTTGCCTCCCTCCCCAACTAGCTATTTGGCCGCATTCTCATCCTCTGACCTTTTCTGTGTTACTCCCCCCAAACTCCTTTTCATACCCCTACTCACACCCTCTCCTGCAGCCAAACTCCCTTCCAGACCCTGCCCTCCTCACCCGTCCTGCACCACACTTCTCATCCAGATCCTGCATCCCTGTCCCACTTGCTGGCAGCCCTGTCCTGCACACTGAACCCCTCATTTTTGTTCCCTCCCCAGAGCCTAAGGGGGTTCACAAAATTCACTAACTCTGGAACCCCAGAAAAGTAAATCTGACTTATGGGAAGTCCTGAACCTCAGTCCTCCCTGTCCCTTCCCCTCACCTCACCTCACGGGGCTGGCATGCCAGAAGAGTGACGTATCTCACTTGGGGGCCACATCAGTGAGGGTAGGATGTTTCGAGGAGGAGTTTTTTTGCTTCTCACTTGTGTGGCCCCCAACGGATTTTTCTGTGGGTCAGTGGCCCCGACGCAGAATCATAGAATCCTAGGACTGGAAGAGACCTCAGGAGGTCACTGAGTCCAGCCCCCTGCCCAAAGAAAAGGTTCCCCATCCCTGCAATAAATAAAGAAAACATTGAAACCTTTTGTCTTGGATATAATATTTTACTTTATTTAAAATGAAATGTAATAAAATAACATGAGAAAGTTAAAATGCGTAATCTGTTTAATAATTTAAATTAAACTGTTCTCACCAGCTGCAGCACTAGCAAAATGGCTTGGGCTTAATTATGTAATTAATGGTGAATTTCCATTAGCAACTGGTAGACTGCAGAAAGGTTTATGCTGTGAAGAAAGCCCCTCCCCCACTGGGAGAGAGGCACAGCCCAGGTTAGGAGGGTTAAATCTTGGCACACCACTTTGGAAAACAGAGAGGAGTCCTGTGGCACCTTACAGACCAACCGAAGTGTTGGAGCATAAGCTTTCGTGGGCAAAGACCCACTTCGTCAGATGCAACACTTTGGTTAGTCTATAAGGTGCCACAGGACTCCTCGCTGCTTTTGCAGATTCAGAGTAACACGGCTACCCCTCTGATAGGAGTTGGAAGAGTGTGCTGTTTGACACTATTTAGCAACTTCCTATAGTTGATCGGAAAACTATTTTATTTGTTTTTGACAGGATTTGCAGAGTGCTCTTTGCTATCCTA